AAGCGAAACTATTAGAAATAAAGAAAGATAATAGTAATATAATCTACTTACAAAAAAAACTAAAAACAAAAAAACAATAAGTATAACAATGTTTCTTATATGGTGCATGTAGCCTAAAACCAACATCACGTGACCAAAGATGGCCAAATTTTAAAAAATTTTTTATTATAAAAATTTTGTACCACATAAAAATTAGCCAATTAAATTTTAGCAAAATATAAATTTTTTAAAAAATTTATATTAGTGGCCAAAATTTTAAAATATATAAATATATTTTAGCTAATAATTCCAATTCTACTGAAGCAAGAAAAAAAATCTTTTTGTAATAATATAATATAAACTCTAAATAATTAATTTATAGAGAAAAACTTTTTATTATAATATTAATATTATTAGTTATAATTTTTTTTAGTTTATATAGTTATAAAAGGTCACATAATGTTGGTTTTAGACTACATACACTATATATACCCTGAAGTTAATTTCAAAAAATGAATGAAAAAAAAAGAAAACACTAGGAAAAAGAAACTAGCAATAACACACAACAATATGCTATAAAAAGCTAAATAAAAAAAATTAAATCAGATCAGTATTTAAATAATAATGATAATATATAAAAATTAAAAAAAATATTTCTATTCGAAAAAATTAATAATTATATCTATTTATAATAATAAGTTTATAAAAAGAAATTTATATATACAACAAAAATTATTTGAATATAGTCAAATATAAACAATAATTTCGCAATATTTTAAAATTATTTTAGTTAAATTTTTTTGAAATATATTTTAAAATATTTTGAAAATTTTATCAAAATTTTTTTAAAAATTACATTTTTTGAAATATTTCAAAAATTATTGTATTTATTTTCAAAATTTTTTTGTATTGCAAAATCTTTTACAATATTTTGTATCTATAAATTTGCTAATGAATAAGAAAAACAACAAACATATGTGAAGAAGAAGTTTTGAGGCTGAAATTAAAATCAATGATCATATGTTGAGGCTTTGAAGTCAGATATTCTAGAATTCAAGTTGGATTTAATATAAGAGTTATTAACTAGAACAATAATATAAAATATACAATAGTCCAAAGTTATAGATATATAATTTTTAACTCTTAGTACAGGTTAAAATATACTTTAGTGTCTTTTGTTAAATAGCTCTATATATAGATTTCTATGATTATATAGATAGTTTTTTACCTGGTTAGCAGGTTTTTATATCTGTAGACAAATTCTCTTAAATTTTAGAATAGTTTTTTAATTCCTTTATATTTTGGTTATCTTTTTTGTATCTGTTTTTTTTACTTATCTCTTTTTACTCTATATTTAATCTTTTTTTTTTTTTTACTTCTCTACGAGAAAGTGTTATCAGATTGGTAGTACTTTATTATAAAGCAGTGATTTTAACAAGGTCAATAAATCTTATCTGTTAATATCTGGAGCTCATATCCTCAGTAAATTGAGGATTTCAGAAGGAAGAAAATTGTTACTTAGATGGGTTGTTCCTGGGTTATACTCTAGCACTTAATTATAGATAACTATAATTTTGCTGCAATAATAAGACAAATTAAAAAATTTTTTATTTGAACAGGTGTAAAGCATTTCTTATAGATAATGTAAATTTAGCTAACTAAGATATCTTGTTGTAAGGTGCTACTAATTTATAAAATAAAAGAAGAATCATTAAAGTAAAAATAAAATTTTTAAACCCACTTATTAAATTCTGTTGAAAATAAAGAAAAGAAAAGAATGCAGTAAGTTGTTAAAATTTTTGTACAGATATGTTTATAGAGATATTAATATAAAATTTAAAAGTATTGTAGATTTGTAGTATAGGTATATTTAAATTTATATTTTAGATTTGGTTAATATGAAAAAAGTTTATAAGTAAATTGGTTTAAATTTTAAATCTTGAAAAAATTTTTGGTAATCAATAGTTTGATATCAATTTATAAGAAAAAGATAAAGTTTGGCCAAGTTAATAATAATTTGAAATCATTTTTTAATAGAGTAAGAAGAAATAAAAAGATAGAAATTAAATATTTTTGGGTAGTTAGAGTATTCAAAAAAGACAGTAGTAATTGCTAAAAATAATCTTTTAAGAGTTTTAAGAATAATTTCATGAGAAATATCTATAGATTCAGTAACTTGAAAGATTTTGGTTTCGAATAAAATCTATAATAAATTTAGGTTTTTAAAAAGCTATTGTATGAATTAAAAAATTAAAGTTATTCTTAAAAGCTAGTTTATTATCTGTTTTTGGCTAAATAATTAAGCCTAGATAGAAATCTTTAAGAAAAAGCTTTAAGAAATTAATTATTTGAATTGTTACTTATATAAATAAAAAAAGGCTATTTGTTGTTAGAACTAGGGAGTGTTTGAGCTAATTGAGAGATTGGTTCAGATTTGTATTAGAGAAGTTGCTGCCAGAAGACTAGCGAGTAGTAAGCTGATAATAAAGAAATCAGTATTAAGATATATTAGATTGAAATATATTGTAAAATAAGTAAATAAAATCTAATAAATAAGTAATATAATTTTTTTTTAACTGAAATAGTAAGTTTTGAAATATTTAGCTTGAAGTTTTAAAATATAAGAGAGGTACACCTAATTTGACGGTACCTAATTTGCTATATTGTTGATATTTCATGTTCTAATGATCAGAATTGTATGATTTTGGTACTATTTGACTCGTCTCGATAAGATAAGTTGAATGGTACCAAAATCACATGATTATGATCACTAGAACGTAAGATATCCTGATCAATATTAATTTTCCACCTGGAACTCCAGCAAGAAGTAACTGTAATATACCAAAATTGGCTCTTTATACTAAACAACCGACAAGTAAGTAATTTTTATTGTTAAAAATTCAATTTATTAATTATTTTTTTAATTTTTTTTATTTTTTATTTTATTTTTTTCTAAACATGTTTAATTTGACGTATTCATAAGGTTTAATTTGATGTATTCATAAGAATACAGCCATTACAGTTTCCAATTCGGGTAATCATTACAAAAGTTTGCCATTACAGTATCCAATAACTAATTTTCAGATACACTAATTTATTCTACATGCACATTTGTAATAAAAAAAAAATACTATTCATAAAAACATAATGTGGCATGCCAATTACGTGATCTTAGTACATTAAAAAAAAACACGAGATTTAAACTAATTTACTAAAATATTCTTTGATCGTATAATATTTACAAATTAGTTTATTGCCACAAATATAATAAAATACTGCACTAGATAGTTCTAAACAAATAAATTTTCATCCTGTAATATAAGCAAAAAAGAATAGTTTATTAAATAAAGTTATAACAAAGTATAGTGATTACAATACCTAGTATAATGCTATAAATAATACCCTTAAGGCAATTAAAAACTCTCCAATAATTCTAAAATACCAAGTATGAGAAGTATTGCACAAGAATATGATCTTTCAGAAGCTACTTTTAGACATGGCCTCAAAAATAATGGTCTTCTCATCTGCCCGGGCCGTGCTAAGGTTCTAATTAACCATAAGGAAGAATAGCTGATTGGTTACTGTTTAAATATGCAAAGGCTTAGTTTTGGGTTGACAAGAACTAGAGTAAGTCAGTGTATAATAGATATTATTCATCGAAACAAAAGATCTTATTCTTTTAATAAAAATGGACCAGGACCAAAATAGTGGCACGATTAATAAGAGACTACCTAGAACTTTTGTTTCGTATTCTGCTAGCCCTAAATGAAGCTTGTGTACAAAAAGCAAACTCTATTATTGTTAATAATCATTTTAACAAACTTGAAAAAATCATCTATAAATATTTACTTACTTCAGACAAAATCTGGCACATGGTCTGTTTTTTTTTCTTTTTTTTTTTTTTTAATTTTTAATTTTTTTTTATTTTTATTTTATTTTAATTCCTTTTTTTTTTTATTTTTTTTTTGCTTTTTTTGCCTAGAATGAAATGGGGTTTATCATCGAATCTAGGCTCCAAAAAGTTATAGAAAAAAAAGAAGCACATCAGGTTCACCAAGTTTCACATAGCAGCTCTTATGAGCACATTTCATTATGCTCAACTATATCAGCTGCTGGGACATACATCTCACTATTACTCATCTTCAAAGAGAAATAAACAATTTTGGGTCTTCTAAATAGCACTTCTGCAGTTTTGTCATAGAGTTTACTGAGACAAGATACATGCGGAAAGCTTATTTCAAAAATATATCAAACATTTTGTTAGATCTATCCTGCCAATACGTCCTGTTTTGTTAATTTTAGATGGTCATAAAAGTTACATCAATTACACTAGTATTAACTTTTGTCATAAGAACAATATCCTTCTTTATGCCTTCTCTTCTCATACTACTTATATTTTACAACTAGTTGAACTACCATTTGCTGCACTAAAAAATGCATATGATAAAGAGTGTGAAAAATTTCAGGTCAATAATAATAAGCTCGTGATGAAGTACACATTCGCTGAAGTTTTAGAACACTCTTATATTACAACCTATACTTCTGCTACAATATGCAATACCTTCAAGGTTACAGGAATTTGGCCCTTTAACTCTAGTACAATTAATCTTAACCATTTAGCTCCCTCATTAGCTATGAAATATACTAACCTTTTACAAATTCCTAAACTATTGTCTTCATTGTCTTATTTACAATCTTTATTGTTATTGTTTTCTTCTTCGCAATCCCTATCTTCTTTGTTTTTATCTTCGGAATCTTCGTCTTCATCTTCTTTGTCTTTATCTTCGCAATCTTTGTCTTTGCAAACTTCAAAGCTGACCCCAAGTCATACACGCTTTACTAAAGCTAATCTTACAAAAAAAGAACTACTGGCAGAGATCAGTTTATTAAATGAAAGAGTTAAACAACTAGAAGAAGAGCTTGAAGTTACCAAAAACCTGGTACAAGTCCTTTGCGGTTGATACTTAAGTATCTCCTGCATCAAAATTCACAACCCAAAGATTCAGAGATTAATAAGAAGGAAACTAGATCTCTGTCTCCAAAAAAAAAAAAAAAAACCATGCCTTTCTCCCACCTCCTAACAAATGAAAAATTATTAAAGCAACTAAGAGAAGCTGAGGAGGAGGCGAAAAAATAGCTGATGAAAAGCAATATAAAAAAAAAGAAACCACCCAAAAATGGGCAGTACGTGAGGCCAAAAAGACACAGAAACAGGAGATATAGAGAAAAAAAAGGAGGATTCAGAGTGTATTAAGGCAGAAAAACAGTGTAGTAAAGTTATGAATCGACTTAAAAAAAAGATAAAAGATCAAATATATAAATTACC